CTCGACGCAAAAACGGAAAATCCTCGGTGAAAAACTGGAAAATGTGGGATTGGGTGGGATTGGTAGATAGGTGCTGGGGAAGGAGGGGGTTCAAACCAAGATCCTTCCTCGAGAGGAGGGGTCGTACTGGCACCACCATTTCACACATTACGATGCTGTACCGATCTTGTGGTTGTGTAACGCCATTTCTCCTGATTAACTGCCTGTTCGGGAAAGGCGCCAACTATCTTCAACTCCGCACGAAGCCAGCCGAGCTAGTGCTACTCGGTTCCCCCTACTCTTTAAGCCTACTCTGTAAGCCGCAAGCGCCTCGAGCTGAAGACAAGCCTGACAAGAAGAGTCATCGTTCCCGCGCCACTGTACTGTTTTGCTCTGTTGAATATTGCTTGCAATACAACATTTTGCAGGGGCAGGCTGTTTTAGGCTGCTTCATGAGATTTCGCTGACAAAAACTTATTCGGCAAAGCAATTCTTTGGAAATGGTGGGCGAACGAGCGCGTCCGAAACATTTAATGAAATTCGATTTTCTCTGCATCTGAACGTTTCTTCTACTGTGGCGATATTTTCGCTCCCCACAGATTTCGATTCACAGAATGAGGAGGGTCCAACTTTTCTTTTCTTTTTTTGCCTTTATAGGCACTCGAGTGCAATGGACGAAATCAAGTGAGCATTCTCGAACGGAAGCGCATGAAGTCCATCTCTTGAAAATATAACGGGCTGCGCATAAAAAGTGTGACACTTTCGCTATGACGTTAACAATCAAGGCTTGAGCTTGGCCGAGTTTGTGTGGAACAGAGTGTAAACAGGGTGCAATGTATGTACGCGTTCAGATCTACTTACTGCATCTAAGCTACTTTTTTAGGGCAATACAGCCTCGGAGGTGGATCACGGTTCGAGGAATTCTATACGCTTCCGCCCGGATTCTCTGTTGAGAACTTCGATGCGAATTCAATTCAGCTCGACGACGCAACACCGGCAAGAATGGAACCTTGTCCACCAGAGTCAGTCCTAAATGTATCATAAAAAATTATGTACCTTGAGGAAACGAACCTGTCCGGCTTGATTGGAGGGGAGGGAGTATTCGTGCACACATCGGGCAGTGTTACCGACAATACATCGTGTTTTTTTATGAAACATGCGGTTTTCAATCAAGCAGAAGGAATTGATAGTATCACGGAGTATGACTAACCACTAAAACTCAGGTTGGGGAATTGCCTAGCTCAGGGAGCACCGAGGTGGGCGGGTGAACTTGATGTACTTCAAAACATCAAGATAGATTCTCCTCGAGGATTGGTTCAACTAAACAGGAAACCTTCTTGGCACTGTTCCCACTTTTTCTAGAGTGTGCTTATTTCCTGGTATTGTGGTTTTGTAAAAGACAATTTTATTTCGTCGCTACACGCGAGAGGAATGGGAAGGTGACCTGTTAGCATATCCAATATGGGGTAGGATCCTCGGCCCTGGCGGTGGCACTTGTTACTGTCATTCCTTCCCCTTCACGGCTAGAATTGCTGAACACGACCGTTTCTTCAGAAATCAGTTCAGTGCGCTATGTCGCCACTGCTCGAAACTTTCCTTTTCGTTCAAAAAAAGTTTAAAAATGATGCTTTCGATGAGCTCTAGAAATATTTCTGCACAGAGAGACATAATCATTTGCAGTCACATTAAGCATGTCATCAACCTTCAGTTCTTCAGAACCGGATGGATTGTTCGCGATGCAGAACTGCTGTACATTCCATCACCGTGCATTTCTCGTCTGTCCTTCTCTGCAAAACTTGTTCGGCCAGGATTCGTCGAGTTCTCCTACCGTATGCCGAAGAACAATCGAGCGCTCTCTCTACATGTTGATGTTCGGAACCAGCAATGTCAAAGTTACAGGTGAGAAAATAGTTAAGTAGGTCGATTTCCGGGTAGATGATTGAGGCAGTACTTCACTACTTTACTGTATACTATCCGCTGCGTTCAAAGACGTTGCGCCTGTATACATACGAGCACAGCATGTTAAAGGCAGTTGGCACGATAAATCCTCCAAGACGACTAGGATCAATACGCCTGGCAGGACGGAATTCCGCGACCCTGAGCAGGCGCTGCATAATGCCTTTTCCAAGGGAGGTGCCCTTATAAGGGCCCTATCAAGCCACAACTTTACGTCCCAAACGCCCGCCACGCCCCCGCCCACAAATGGACGACCGTTCCTGACGCTCGTATTCATTCATTTGCTAAGCAAATTATGAAGCGAAGGGATTGGTATGAAGCGGCCGTGATGCTGCATGCATACATGGGTACACATATGCAGCCGTATCTTCGGTAGCGGTGATTGGTAAGATGCCTACGGGAAACTCGTCCGAAATCGATTTACAAGTCACTGAGAACGGAGGCTTTTCGGGCTTTTTCT